GATCATTAAGCTGGTATCAAAAACTCCATCACTGTGGCCAGGTAGCTCAATCACATTTCCTTCGAGAACTTATTCAGTCGACATTGGTTTGGTTTCTGCAGTATTTTGCGATAGTTGAGGTTTTGCCAAATATTGCCAATAAGTCGATATTGTTAATCTCAGTCCTTGTAACAAAAGTTTATGCACTTCGATGAAGGTCTTCTTGATTTTTGTATAACCTTTATTGTGTGAGAACAAAAATTCATTTTTATGAATTTATTTTTTCATTTTAGCTCACTCTGTCAAAAGTAGTGAGCACAGCAGTGAGATAGATAGGTCTCAGCTTGTCAATGTCACTCCCCTTTTCTTTTCAGTGTTAAGCAATTGCCGCAATTGGCGAGCAACTTCTTCATCATATTCTTGCAATTCCTCATCGGTGAGATCATACCATGAATCAATCCAGCAGAAAGCATGCCTGAAAAAAGACTATGTAATAATAATCCTTATCAATGTTGCAGTGGGCAGTGACAAACCTGTGGAAGTTGGAAAATATTTTCAAGTATTGCTTCAATATCGTCTTCTCCACAAGGCTGCCTAGACCCATCAATTTGAACTGCACCGATACTACCTTGTAGCAACACATTATCTGAAATTACCGAATCAGCATCCTACTATATAAATATCCTTCTATTGTATCTAAAGACCAAAATTGGTGTGTCGCTTTTGCTGTATGTGTGTCGGTAGGTTTATGTGTATATAGAATAGCGCTCAAAGCTTCGGTGGAATACTTCTCGACCGTAACTTCTTTCTCTTAAATTAAATCGGTTCAGAATATGACACGATTCAAGAGCAACCTTTTTTATACTGAATTTGTATAACACTATTGAAGGAAGAAAGAGATAAAAAAACCACTTCTGTGAAACACTCGAGTATGACCAAATTTCAAGTAAATTTCAAGTTACTGTAAAATGCTTAAATTTGACAAAACAACCAACCGCACGATAAGAAAACAAGCAGGTTCAATACTTTATTGCTAGCCTTCTGGAGCCACTAAGCTCCTGATAGGGCCACAGTATGAAATCAGGCAAAATCAATCAGGAACCCGGAATAAAACTGGTGTAAGAGCGCATCATAATGATCTATGAACTACGAATGAACTAAAAGTGGAAAAGAAAGCAAGAGAAGCCATCGGAAACGCTAAAATTAAGGCCTTAACTTTCAGTAAGGTTGGATTTNGTACGAGGCGACGACAAAACATCAAGAAGACAAGGCGCGAGAGAGTATTCCGTTTGGGAGCGCGCTGATCTCCACATAATGGCGGGTGGGTGGAAGGCGTTGCAGTAAGGGCCGCTGGTTGCAGCACATTAGCGATTACGCCCTAACCGCAAATTTTGTGCGACGAGTGTGGCAGCTTCTGTACGGAGACATGACATTCTGTCGCGTATCGAGTATAGTTGGACCAATCCCGTGGATTGCTTCAATGAAATAATTTTCTACTGGAGCAAGTTTCTCATTTTTCTTCATGTTTGACGAGTTTCTTGCCCATATTTTCCTGTCCCTTTTTCTGCCAAAGGTTTCTCTACTTTTCTCACAGCATTTCGACGGGACATGCGACAGAATTTGTACCCAGTTATAAGCCCACCGTGATTCCAAAGCCACTCCTTCACAGTAGAGGTGTGTCGATTTTGCTCGCCCTATTGCTAGAAGGCGAAGTCAATAGCGTCGGAGACTGAATACACAACATACACAGGAACATAGCTGTAAATGTATGCCTTGACACCAGTCACCAGTTCGTAAATCCTGTGAGCTAGTTCAGCATCTTTTATGGACTACTATTTTGAGCTTCCGCCTTGTTTCACGAATGGAGCTGATAGTTTGGATCAGAACGCTTCCCGTCAGGACCCTACTCGTTATCATTGCCTTTGCCGACAAACATCCTAAATTCACTATCCTCGCTCCAGATGATGTTAGAGCCCTGTGGAAATCTCCAGTTCAGGTGCGCTTGAGCCCCCCTCCATTTCCTACCACTTCACAATCGTACAAGTTCACAGGATTCGCGAACTGGTGAAGGCATACCTATACAGAAAGGTTTTGGAAAGTGATGTGAATTCAAACGTAAGGCATCTATATGGTACTGACTTCGCCTTCTAGCATTGGAGCACACCTCTACTGTCATAGCGTCATCGAAACACTGGTGGAAAAAGGGTAGGAAAGCTCTGAAAAGAGAAAGAAATACGGACAGAAATTCGTAAAGTTGAAGGAAAATGGAGGAACTTGTCTCATTAAACAGTAATGCATTAACTGATTCCATACGGTGGCCTTTTCGAGAGTTTCGCGACACCAGAAGATGATTAGCAAAGTATCGTTTGTAAGCTCTGTACAATAACTTGAAATTTACATAGAATGCGGTTATACTCAAAAGCTTCTAGAGAAGTGATTTTTCATTCTTATCTCTTTTTTCGAATCAACATTTGTAATAGTTTTAGTGAAAAGAGATCCCTGCCTTTTAATACAATACAATTTTAAATACGAATTTCGAAAAAATTTTTTTTTTTTTTTTTTTTTTTTTTTTTTTTTTTTTTTTTTTTTTTTTTTTTTTTTTTTTTTTTTTTTTTTTTTTTTTTTTTTTTTTTTTTTTTTTTTTTTTTTTTTTTTTTTTTTTTTTTTTTTTTTTTTTTTTTTTTTTTTTTTTTTTTTTTTTTTTTTTTTTTTTTTTTTTTTTTTTAAATAAGAAGGGAGCAGATGCAATACTGCAGTGCATCGGTAGAATGTTTTGCCTGTGACTTCTACGCACGATTCCGTGTCAAGAAGCTAGTATGGACTACAATTAGGGGTTGAAATAGCATAAGATCCACCTCCTCGTCAGATCGTTGAGCTAGAGCAAGAGGGAACCTCTAAAGAAAACATCGAAAATCGTGAGGGCTGTTCTATGTGGTTTAGTGATACCTTATATTTCATACATTCCACGTTTTTTGAGGTACGGTTCATTCTTCCTTTTTTCCCTACCCCATCCTCTATCATAACCATTATTTTAGTATGGCGGCGGGTCATCCTTTGAAGGTGTGAAGTCCAAATAACACTTGCGCTGAACTCATAGTCAGCTATGGGAGCTTTAGCAAAATAACTTGCTTTCTTTTGTCCGGATTCGTTCAGTTCGCTCAAGAAGAGATAAATAATGGCCATTGGACATATCGTCACTTGGTGATGCTACCTCTCGCTCCCGAAAAAGCAAAAGTGTTCATCATCGGGACTGATAGTATTGTCCATCTCTACAAAATAGGTTCTGTAGCACTAGAGAAAGAGACTGAACTAAGGATCTCGAGTTTGTCCTATCGAATAAACTCGCTTTTGACAAGCACTATAAGACGTTGGCGTCTAAAGCAAACAACTGGATTTACATTATTCAAAAATAACCGAGAAAGAGGCGCACGATTTCTACTGAAGGCCTACAAGCTTAGTAGACAATTGTGAATCGGATATTCCGTTTATTTTTCCAACGAAGAAAGACGTAGATCTTTAAGAAGGTGTCCAAAGAAATTTCTCGAAGCTTGCCTTCGTTGGCCCGCATGAGTGTTTTGCCTAGTGGACCTAAGCACGCCGGCGTTATGCTTGTCTTCGTTGGTGCATGGAATACAAGTCGAGTCTCGTTATGGCTTCCAAAATTCTGACAAGGAAGGTTGCGGTTTACCCTGCAGACTTTTTCACACTAGTAAAATCAAGGATCTAGGGGAGTTTACAATTGAAAGCAGGTCTCCCTAGTAAGGACATCATGTGAGAGTTAAATTTTGCTGCTGTTACAGAGTCACTTTGATAAGCAATAGTGTTTGATGAGGATATCCATTGCGCTTGTCTCTCGGGATGTCCCGTCGTAAAGCCATAGAACTAATCAATGCAGAGGTTTCTTGAAATTTGAGTGGGATACGATCGATTGCCCTGACTATGGTTATTTTATTTGCATTTATCATAATGTTTCCATAATGATTTAACGTTGCACATTCCAAATTGATATTCTTTCGGGCAAATTGGTTGCTTGCTTTTTGGTTTTCGTTGCCTTATTGTTCACCACGCAGTCATGCAGTGTCCACGAATAAATAAATGAATGAATGAATAATTCGCTACTTGCTGCTTTACGATTACGATTGGAACATGGTACGCAAACCGCTTCCGGCAACATCACTCGAGCACGCATACCACAACATACTATTTCTCGAGAACCATTGGTTTTAACCAAATTACATTAACCAACATTCGCACCGGCAGTACTAACGAAAAGACGTGATAACTATGATTATAGACGAAGGAGCGCCATCGATATATGTAGATTTAGTCGACGGTCTTGAATTTCAATGCGCTCAAGTGTCAAAATGGCGTTAGCCCTTTTGGGAAATCCTTTGGTTTATACTGTTGTTGGTTTTTTCTACTTCGAGTTGTTAAAGATTACATTATCAGGACCACTGCACAGGTTTATGCAAAAGTCTGAAAATAAGGCCGCGTTCATAGTTCGCGACTCCGGAGATTAGGATAGTACGCGACAATGAAAAACATATGTATTGACGGGAGATTAGGATAGTAGTAGATTAGGATAGTAGTAGAGTAGGAGATTGCGCTGACAAGATTAGATACGTATCGATTGAAATCGCTGGAGAGTAGTAGATTGCGATATTACGATAGTAGGATAGTAGTAGAGTAGGAGATTAGGATAGTAGTAGATTAGGATAGTGCGCTGACAAGATTAGATATGTATTGATCTATTCGCTTGAAGTCGCCCAATCTACTACTCTCCAGCGATTTCAATCGATACGTATCCAATCTTGTCAGCGCAATCTCCTACTCTACTACTATCCTAATATCCTGTCGCCTACTATCCTAATCTCCCGAGTCGCGAACTATGAACGCGGCCTAAGAGGTGGCTTGGGTGTGCTGCAAGGTTTTTGAAGCCAAATCTACTCACTGGTGTTGTGTTATCCATCCATCCTTCTTTCAGCTGTCCTCGCCCCGTACGCTCTGATTTAAAGATTTTTGGGTCAAATTCTGGTCTATAATTCGCCTCTCCAATGATCTCGTCGTCACATATGTCCAAATAGACGATATCTCTTTTCTTAGTGATGTTTAGGGGCTGAAACAGTTCGACAATTAACTAAACGATGTGCAGAGGGCTAGCAAGAAATGTTTTCAAGTCAGTGATGCATACGCTTTTATTCGCCGTTGAACTCACATTTTCTGAGGAGCCATTATCTGGTAGATGAATCGATTCTATCACTAGCGAGGAATCCTCTCCCATGTAGCCAGGATTCTGAAGTGGTCGAGTTGCCACTAAAACCCTACTAAACTTTTTTAGTGGAACTTTGCACAGCTTTCCAAACTACTACTCGTTACCCAGAAGTAAAGTTTTCTGACAATTCCCTTTTCTCTGGAACTCATTGAGATATAAATGTTCACGAAATTAGAGCATTACATGCAACCAGCAATATTTGGCGTTTTTCTAAGAATAAGATTCTGCCTACAGGTAAACTTTTCATTAACTCACCGTCAAAACTGTTTTGCAGTAAGGATAAGCATTCCAGCTTTCTTCGTGTACTTCGAACGCTTCAGCAGGTAATAACTGAAAATTCGTGTGAGTACTATGTCACTGATGTCTTCAAATGTCGAGTAGCTGAGACTTACTTTTTGTAAAATCCACGGCACTTTCGATTTACACCTATAAATTTTATAGGAATAGATGCCTGACAGCGTCTTTCCTGGACTTATCGTCGTATCATCGAAGAACTCGTATTGTTTCAAAAACTGCAAATGAAAAACTTAAAATCTCAATCAATGCCATCGATTGTCAACAAGCGAACATTATGGGCTTCGTTTTCCGATCAGGAAAGGTGGTGGGTCGAGAAAAAGTGGCCATTCGCAAGGAAACCTATACTGTTGAACGTGTTTTTAGACACTGATCTCGAAACTACTTTCCAAATCGTTTTTTGAATGGGTCATGAAGCAAAATAGAGCAGCAGTAGTGGTCCGGGCTCACGAGTAAGAGGTCTTAGGATCTATTCCTTGAGTAGACAAATGTGACATTCGTATATATACCTAGGACCAAATTTGTAGCCAAATCACCCGTCAGGGGATCGATCCTGCGATCTCGCTTTCGAGAGTTAGGGCCACTACCATTGCTTTATTTCGAAAAAAATCGTCTGCAGGCAGATTCGAGATCAACGTGAAAAATACATCCAGTAGGTCTTACTGTATACGGTACTTCGACCCATCATCCTTTCCTGATAAGTACGCTCTATAGCTATGCAAGGATCCGTGCACTGTTTATCAAACTAGTGACTGGAAACGATTATTTACATATTAGTTTGCCTGAAAAATTATTAGAAGTATACGAAAGGACGCCAAGTTGATCAAATTTGAGTTAATATTATCAGAAAAGTTTATAGTTTCTTAATTGGTAATAATTATTTTTTAAAACATTATCTGTGCGAGGGTAATTAGCTCCACACTTCTTACTGATGCACAAGAATCTTTCGGAAATTACTCGCGATGTCGACATCAGTGGTGTTTTACTATCATTTTGCAAGTATATCTCGCAATCGAGTACCGTATTTCGAATTTTGTTGCCTCTCTGATGCGAAACAAAATGGTCAGCATCTAAGCTGTAAATTCGTGGGGATTACACCTCTCTCCAGGAAGGTCTTTCAGGGCGTGCCAAGCTTTTTCAAAACGGTTTTTTGCATGATATAGGGGCACATGCGGAACCACAAAACTGTGGTTCATTTTTCCTGAACGGCTCTCTGAATACCAAAAGGAGCGAAGAAAATTGACTCAAAACTGCAGTTTTACTGTTTCTTTTGGCACATATCCTCCGCAACGTTGACCAATGTCACATTAGTGATTAGTCAGGCCCCCTATTCCTTCTTTGAAAACACCGCAAACTTCGGTTTTATAGGGAATTTCGGTGCGAGAGCGCGTGTGTGTGAAGCCTGTGGCTTGGTAGATAGCGCGATCGGATCTAGTTGGCACGGTGCCCTAAGGGTTGTACACCTCACGACGAGCCGGTTTTCTATTTTTGGCCTGCACTTCAGTGTTAGTGCCAAATGGTTATATATCTGTTGCTTTATTAGGTTGAAACGATTCAAATGTCGTCTCCGTTTGTGCATTTGTTTCTCAGCTTAACACAATCCCTTAGGATGTGAGACCACTTTCGAAAAAGCGATTCACCACTGAGCGGATGTTCTTCGAGCCAAAATTTTGCTTGAAGATGACTGATCAGAAATCATCGTCTGAGCGTATATATTCAAGCAACGAAAAACGGCCAACGAATCCACTCATTGTGTGCAAAACATGGAGCAGTAACACTTAGTGTCAGAGAAGGACATGCCGGCCTAGAGAGATCAGCTGTAGATCAGCTGGTCTGAGCGGTATATCGACAAGGAGGTGGTAGGAGTTGATCGCGGGGGTCATGAGAGGCCACCTTTGCCAGAGGGAAACGAGTCGCGCGGGAAGGTCCCAATAAAAGGGGTCCGTGTTCCTATGCAGTACTTCCAGTTCCAGTTACAGAGCTCCGGTGTTCCCGAGCTCTGTCTGGTTTTCCTGTGTTCCAGCGACCCAGCGTTCCAGTTTCAGTGTGCCTTCGTGGCGTTTCCGGTGGGAGCTGTAGGGGCCCGTGAGAGAGAGGGCCTAGGCTCCGGATAGACTGCCTAAGTGGCTGAGGGAAGAGGGCCTCAGTGGCCATATAGAGGAGCCTAAGTGGCTCATCGGTGTTTGCCTTAGTGGCATAGTGAAGAGAGCCTTAGTGGCTCGTGTTGCAAAGCCTTAGTGGCTGTGCGGAGAAAGCCTGTGTGGCCTACCGTTGGAAGAGGTTGCGCCGTGCACCCGCGCCGTGGACATAAATTCCCTGCTTGCTCCCCGTGTTCGACCGACACCAACCACCTCCGAGCGCCGTTCGTACAAGACATCCATCTAATTCTTTACATTTGTTAGTTCTGTTCGTTATAATAAATAATAAACTTTCTTTGTACTGCTTGTCTCACACGCACAGTTAAAAGGTTTACTCTCACGTCGTAGCAGACAAATCCGCGTTACACTACATTAGTCTCTGATGTTCCAGCTATCGTTTCAGCTCCTTCCAAGACTGAGGTAAAGGACCTGAGGACGAAGATCGTGGATTTTGACCTCTAGCTCTAGATGACGGAGAAATAAAGAAAGCCAACGAATTGAGTCCTCGACAAACCGCACAAAACTTGCATGGAGATTCAGTTGTGTCAACAGAAAAATTTAAAAGTTCCTACGTGCGACTGTTAAGGCCTTTCAGGATAGAAAATGGGTTCCTATTCTGAGCGACGCGAGCAAGCAGTACTGGTTGCCAATACTGGAACTTCGCTCCATAACTTCAAGAGGAAAAAGGTTCTTGACTTCGTGTTGACCGCATTTTACAAAGAGATGTTTCCCAATAACAACGCGAGAAGACGACCGTGGTTGGCGGCTGATGGACAGCTGAGGGTGACTTCGAAACCAGACATCCACGGAAACAAAGTCATGTTTTATATGGTGATATAGTATAGCAACGGTGTACCACGGAATGCTGATTGTGGGTTATACAGTTACAGCTGAACTCTGCGTATAACAGCTCCACCACGTGGGCCGAGCTCCGCGTCGTCAAAGGGTAAATTCGGCCAATGAAAAATTATGGCACGATAATGCAAGACCACATGTCGCGAAAATCACGCAACAAGAAATCGAGGAGTTGGGCTGGGACGTTCTACCTCTCGCGCCATATAGCCCAGGTCTGGCGCCGTCCGACTATCACTGACCCAGGTCAGCGCAACACTCCTTAGCAGCAAACCAATTCGATAACCGCAGCGACGTCAAATTAAAGGACGAATTTACGATGGAAAAGCAACCCATTTCAAATTAACCTAGAGATGGTGAGTGGTACAGAAAGAAGAAACCATGAGAAACGGCCCAGAACCCGAGAAATGGGACCCCTTCCTTGCCCGTTGATTTGAGCATTGATGCGACTCTCATCGCTGTGCCCTCTTCAACACTACGCTCTCTCAGCTATCTAATCACTCGCCACCTATTGTACTACGGCGAGTGATCAGACGATCGGTGGGCGGAGATCGCCGAACTCGCCAACTTTGAGCCATGCTAGATCTCAGAGGTCAAATCTTTCGATGCCGATTGCGTGTCTGTCCGCACCCTCAAGAGATTCACCGCTCTCCCCACTAGGCGATTTCTCCCTTCTTCGACCTTCGTTCTTTCCGTGCAATCCTCCTTTAAGTAACAATCTTACGAAGTTACCAGGAAGCGTTCTACGCGATGAACCTGCGACACAGGCGAGATAGATGTTTTATGGTTGATGTGCTTCATTATTGCTTTTATAATGAAAATATTGCAGATCGAAAACGACATTTCAATCGTTCCAACCTAATATAATCATGATCAGGGTTACAAATAACCCCATTAAGATGAGTGTTCTTCGACAACTGGGGAAAACATATCGCGGCGCTAAGATGGCGCCAAATTGCGCTACAGCCAGAGAAAGAATGTCGTCTTCATGACCAGGGTCGATCTGAGCTCAACACCAAGTTCAGGGGAAAATCCAGATCTGACTCGACTTCGGAAAATTGGACGGGTCATAGGGACAACCCGACGTGTGTCTCAGGACAGCTTGGTGGCGAGCTCGGAGCGGAAAATTAGGGGTACTAGTTATAAACACACCACGATCTGGCAATATGCATCACTTTCTTCGCGAAAGGGAGACTCAGAAGGTAACCTACAGCAGTGGAGGGCGACAACGGAAATCGACCATGTGCTGGTAA